TTTTTCTCGATTATATGTTAACTGCTTGCAAACCTTAAAAGGGCCAAAATAACCCCGATCGAAGTCATAGCCACCTGTAAAGCGTTAATATATGATTAATATGTTACAAAGCTATCAAAAAAAACTGTTAATAATTACCTGTCGGACTGTCATAATAACCCCAAATAGGTATTCCCACTGCTGCCGAGGCTAATGCAAAGCACAAAAATCCCAAACAAGTTAATCCAGCAGCGTAAAGGACATTTCGTGATTTGGCCATCTTTTAGGCATCTGCATAGTTCTATATATACACACAGTCATAGGTAGTATGTATGTGATTTTTTGTGATATTTTTTCAAGCTTGCAGCGACCTTCAAAATTAAACGCAATCCTTTGAAAATCAAAACGTTGCGAATATCAAGAGAGAGTCAAAAAGATGAGTGATAGATAAGTCATGTAAAAATAATATTCAAAATAATGTTCTACAACTTCGATGGTTGGTGTGCTAGCCATCGAACTCGAGACCTAAACAGTATCAATAGCTCGCGAAAAAATAAATGTTGACGAAAGCCTAATCTCAAAGTGTAAAAAACCCTGTGTGTAGCTTATTCGGCAAGACTTCAAAAATTATTATAACCAGTACCGAATTTGGGGCAAACATGCAAATACTTTTAACATTACATGCTCTAGGCAACTACTAGGCAATAGGACTCATCTTTCTTTAGTGTTATGTGTGTACGCATGTATGTATGTACATACATACATAGATATCTGCATATGTTGCCCAAGCCGTGAGCAATGTTGTCGTTTTCGCCAAAGATTTTAGGGCTAACCGAATGAATTTCACGGTCTTCAACTAAGTCTGTAGTTGAAAGGTGTTTAAAAGCCAATAATACAACAATGCCTTAACTCAAAATATTATAGAAACTCATTGAAAATCACAACCGGAAGGAAATTATTTATTTACGCTCTTAACGGTTGTTTTTTTTTAACCTGGTTATTGGTATTTCATTAATATACCTTTGTTATGGCTTACTCTATTTTTGTGTTAGGTATTTACCATGGCAACATTCTTACAGACACATACATAGAAACATTTCGAGTAGCTTACAAAAGACGCACTTACCAAGCATACATATGTACACATGTACATGCATAGATATATAGAGCATAATATGTACAAATATATAGTATATCGTTACCTTAATATAGAAAGGCCCTATCTAAAATTGTTGGTTCTTTACAGGGTAGTTATAAAACTTTATAGAAACTATAAAGTTCTTCAGTTGTGCGGTTTTTAATAAACATAGAAACTACCTTTTTGATTTAGTAATTGATTTTAAATTGTATTTAGTCTTTAGTGAGTAATCTACCGAATTCTGTTCAAAAGAAAATTAGTTCTCACCTTTCTATATTAAGGTAACGATGTCTAGATATGTACTGGTTTTTGTACATAACCTAAAAAATAAAACTTCTCTATATACATTAGACCATACCAACTTACCCCTGAGTTTAAGTATTTTTCCAAGACAAATTCTAAAAAAAAAAAATTTGGCCGAACCTAGCGATCGCCTTTTTACATTACGGTATTCGGCAAAATTTTTTTTTATTTTAAATAGTTCACTGGAATAAACACAATACTACATTAGGAGAAGTTGAATGATTTTTGGTGAGCTTTAATTACTGGCAGTAGGGTGTTACGACGTTACGGTGTTAAGAACTGAGATGTGATGAGAAGGCACTACATAGATCGGGGTACTTGAGATAAATGAGACTAGAACATCGATTTTTCATACTTTAAGATCCAACTGTATATGCCGAATACATAACGAAACAAATTTAAAAATGCCATCAAAAATTTTTTTTTCAAATTGCCTTGCAAAAATACTTTATACTCAGGGGTGTAGGCGAACTTTTTTTGTTTGCTTGTCAGGTGGTACGGTATAATGTACATGCATACATATGTACATGTCGCACATGATATTCAAAAGTGACACAACTTGAAAATACACGTTCATCAGAAAATGCGAAAAATTATTTCTTATCACATGGTAATCATAAGGGCAAGGAAGACTTTACCCTAGGTTTTTTCAACAAATTATAACAAAAATTTGCTCCAGCTTTTGCTGAAAGGTAAATAGAAGCTCTGTGTACATTTTAAGTGCATAATTTCAAAAATGCCAAATTTTGAGTTGTGCCACTTTTGAGGATCGTGCTCGATATTTACATAGGTATAGCTGAAAGAGAGCGGCTGCATACAGTTGCAAACTGAATCAATAATGAAATGATCCTATACATACATACATATTTATTAGGGTGATTGACTCGTTTTTTCCAAACCAGATTCCTCGGTTTTCTTTGTTTTTTTTTTTTTTTAATCTAGATTTAGAGACCTAAATTCAAAGCCATTTATATCTTGAAAAATACAAGGTATATTAGCCGTTTAGAACAGCTTTGTAAACATTTCCTATGCCAGTTTAAAAATTTTTGATTCCCCTGTAAAATTTCGATTTTGTCGAATAGGGCCTTTTCATTGATAGTGACGATATGTATGTATGTCAAATGTGCTTATGAATTTTTACATGCCTACATGCTTACATACATCCATATTTAAATGGTTTTAGGTTAAGTGTTCTCATATACTTATGTATACATACTACGTACATTCGTACCTGTGTATGTATGTATATAGTATGTACATATGCTGCAATCACAACATTTAGGTATATTCTGGCTTTTTATAAGGTGTCACATTGTTCTAATGTCATATACATAGGTATGTATGTTTTTTGTAGTTGCGAAAAGTAATTTCCTGCCCGCAAAATCGTTGCGACAACTTAAGAGTACTTCATATTGTTTTTGGTAATTAAATTAATTTAAATCTGGACACTGATTAGTCGCGTTAAAACTCCAAAAAGTGACCCTTTGACATGAGCAGCAAATCTAACCCAATCATCTCTGAATAACTAAGAACGCAGATTTACAATTCTATCTAGCCAAAACTTCAACTTCAGGTCGACAAGCGCGTTCATCATCCTACTGCAATAAAACGTGATTAACAACTATTTAGACCAAAAGGAAAATTGGATTTGCCTATTGATGTTCGCAAAATAAATAAATTCCCCCAATGTTCTCGGACACCCTAATACTGTAGGTACTGTGACAGTGTACCTGTGGGAATTTCTTAATTGCTTTATGTCACGATATTCATGCATGGCATTCAGTCTTAGCAATATTTTTTATAACATCAGTAGACAAGCGAGGGATCAACACAACTATTTATTATGTGTTGAATACAAAAGGTAGATACGTACTTTCAGTGCATGCGCAATTCACATTCCCACAAAGTAAGATTTGCTTTAAAATTTTTCTTTAGTTATCTCAGTTTTTGCCAATGAATAAAACAATTTATAACAAAATTAGATTCATACATTCAACTCAATAATGAGCATGTTGTGAAAATTTCCATAGCGGGAAATTTTATGCTTGTTTTTTGTGAACATGCAACTGAGGTCATCCAAACCTTACCGCGTAAGGGTTTGCATATTTTTTAAATTGTCCAGGTTTCAGCTTCACCTAGTGAAATTTATAGCGTTTTCTTTTCTCAAAAAAAGTTTTGCCCCTTTATATGGGAACTCTTGCTGTGCGTTGCCCTGGAACCTGAGAAAATGTTGCGTTCTTTATATGAGAATGAAACAGAAAATATACTACTCCATCACAATTTATTTATAGAACTTAATAAAGCTGAATTATTCACTTGGCCTATAAATCTTTAACAATTTTAAAGCAAAACACTTATTTCTGATAGGGAAAATAATTGCATTTTTACAAGATTAACTTAATAACCAACCATGCAACTCTCACCCTCACGTTTATTTGAGGGCAGAAAAGGCAGC